GCAGAAGTTAACAGAAAAATCATAATTCACAATCACTTTCAGATCATCAGGACAGTTCACAATCATTTTCAAGTAGGCATGCTCAATTTAATGAAAAACATAAACATTTCACTTCAAATCAGTCATGCTCGTGTAAAACGGGTTTAGTCCCGCCACCACTTCAAAAACAAATCAAAACATGCTTTTAAAACAGTACGGGCATTACCATAAATTACTTACCTCACTCGCATAAAACTGAGCACTCAATTCACGTACTAACTGACAGAACGATCGGAAACCTAATCAAAACACCTCAGAATTAATACCAGACTATCACAAATTCACACGGAAATCATCATTAGGATTATTCCTAATCACAATGCTATTTCCATAAATCTCCACATGATCAAATATCTCCAAATTCATTATTATATCACAAACTAATCACTTAAATTCCCGTTAAATGTTGGCCCTTGGGGTGTGAACAGTGCATATGAACAGTACACGTGAACAGTACCCCCAACGTGAACAGTAACTCCACTCCCACAAATTGGCCAAAACACTAACTAATCTCACGGGATTTTCCTCCAAAAATCACATAGCAGTCCATTAACACTCAATCACATAAATCCCACTTGAATTAAGCAACAAAACACACTTAAATCCCTCTTAATTGCTACCGGAATTTCCCCATTTCCTAGCCAAATTCGGACATCACAAGCAGCAATTTTAAATGGATAATTTAAGCCTTAAAAGGCTGTCACATACCAGAATTCTCCAGCTAAAACCGGAGCTGCAGGGGGGAAGAGGCCGGCGGCAAGCTACAGGGAAAGCTCACGGGTTTACCCAAAATTGAAGGAAATAAGAGCAATCAAAGTTAACCCAAGCCAATTCAAGCAAGAACAGAGGGATTGGTAGCTGTTCTTACCGAAAAAAATGCCCAGAAATCACCCACAATCAAGAGCAGCCGGCGGAAGGACAAAGCAGAGCAGGGCAGATCCGGCTTTTCCAGCAGGGGGGAAAATTTCTGGGTTCTAGGTGTGTTCTAGAGCAAGAGAGGAAGGAGAAAACCAAGCTTATCTCACCGGTTTCTCAAAGCATGGTTGGGTTCCCCTTTTTTTTTTTCCTCTCGGGCTGCAGCGGGAAGACAAGAGCAGAAACGGGCTGGAGAAGAAAGAGGAAAAGGGAGAAAAGAAATAAGCCATCCTTATCCAATTTCTACTCTTTTAAGCCCCACAACTTTGGATATTTTCACATTAGGCCCCAAAACAATCTTTTCTCACAATCAAGTCCCTAACTTACACTTAAATATTCCCGAAAATTTAGGATATTACAAAGATTAAAATCCTTGAATTAACTTTCCTGCACACTTAACACAAAAATAGATTAAATTCTTTTAAATCATAATTTTAAACCATCATCAAAATATAAAGAGAACCTAACAATTAGTGGATATGCAATAAGAGTTTTTAGATTACTTTTGGACTACTGCTCATCATTTTGACAATTTAATATTTATAATTATATTGTTGGATACTTTTGTGTAAAACATCTAATGTCATTATTTAAGAAGGCTATGCTCATTTTTTTCCCCTTTATTAATTAATATCCCATGAGGAGTTTCAATCTTATATTTGTGAGCTTTTTTTCAAACTCCATTTGTTGTCATTGTGGATCCTAGATGGCAAAATAACATGAAATTTTAGTTACAGGTCCAAAATCAGTTCAGTCAACAATGATATGTTTAGGGTGAGATGAATAAGGGGGAGGGGAATGGAAGAATAATTTCTCTATTCGCTCCTTATTAAATAAAATAAATAAAAAATTTTTCCTCCCCTCTTTTATATATATATATTATAATCAAGTTCCATATTTTTTCTCCCTCACTTTATTTTTCTCAATTCAAATATGTTATTACAAATTATTAATTAGGCTTATATTTTTGTGAAGCATTTTATCTACTTTAATTTATTATTTTAACATTGATTGTATTACTGTTTGCAATTTGTGATTTTAAAAAATTTTAAATGTTTTCATTATTCATGCAGAAAAAGATTTAAATGCATTATAATAATAGTTTTATGATTAATTAAGTATCTTTTGAAAGTTGAGGGACTGAATTAAAAGGAGAATGGTTCCTTTTGGACCTAAATTAATGACTCTTAGGTTATGTGATACAAAAGCTGGAGGATCAGATTTGTAATGTTACCATTGAAGAAATTGCAGAATGGGCTAGAAACCCGACACGGCTATGGTGTCCACACATTGTTCGTGATGTCAGCACCATACGATAAGAATAATCTGTTAAAAAATGTTATATTCAATAAAGTATAAGATTTCGTTTAGTAACATCCAGCCTTTTTATTGAAATTCAGCTTGTGCTATTTATCAAAAAAGAGTAATTTGATTTATATTTATATGATTATACATATAATTTTATATTAAAAGAGTTGTAATTTTATAATTATTTTTTTAGAGATTAATGTATATTAATTCTGATTTTCAAAAGATAATTAGAATTT